GATTTCCGGGTTTGTTTTTGTTGGGTGGGTGTTTTGTTCCTTGGTTTCTGCTTCCTCCCTGAATTTTTGGTGAGTGTGATGCCTCTCTGTTGCTTGGGGAGGGGGGCATTTTCTTTGAACCTCATAGTTGTGGCCCTTTGGGTTTCCAGGTAAAATGTGTTTCTGGGTATTGGGGGTTGAAAATCAGAATAGGGATAGGCTGGGAGTCTGATGGGGTTCACAGGAGAAAGGAGAGCAGACTGTCCCACTAGGATCTGTTTATTTTATCTCCTTGGCATTGGGTGAGACAATGAAGGTGGGTCACTCTAGAGGGTCTGCTAGAGTGTTGGGGATGAGACAGGGGTGTTGGATCTAGGGGAACAGAAGGAGGAAGGAAGATCTACAGACAGTATACCTATTTCCCTGGCAGGGTTGGTCTGTGTTAGCCGGGAGTTTGGCAGTTGGGGCTGGGATAAACCAAGTGGGGAGAGAGGGGCTAAGAGGGGAAGGTCTTTGAGATCCACAGGAGGTGTGAGCAGAGGAGGAAGGAAGGCTTCAACAGACATTCTGTTGCAGAGATAAGGATGGGACTAGGGAATTGGTCTTGGAGAAGAGGAGGGAATGGTGAAGGTCTTTAGTTAGCATCTCTGTTTCCCTGGCCTGCTCAGCTGGTGTGCTCACAGGGAATGTCTGCTGGTGTAGCAGTCTGGGATACTGGGACGAGTTGCATTTCCTTTGGGATAGGGTCAGAGAGGATAGGGAGGCCACAGCAGGTGTTCTGCTACAGAGCTGGGGATGAGACTAGGGGGATTGGATCTGGCGGAGCAGAAGGAGAAGTGTGGGTCTGCCTTCAGCCTCCTTGTTGCCCTGGCAAGAGGGGACTTGTTAGTAGGGCTTGCCAGCTGGGATTGAGGGCTGGGATGAAGCAAGGAGTGAGAGGAGGGATGTTAGTTTGTTTTTAATCTGAAGAGAAGGGCAATTGTTTTCCAGTATTGAGAATAACTGCTGAAAATAGAAACTCAAAGTGCTCTGGATTTTGCCTGATTTTAGCAGGAGCTGCTGAGTCCTGTTTCCTGCACAAGCATGTTTCATGACTGTAGTAGGACCTTGTCCTTGTGAATCTGCAGGAATTGTGGTAGTATAAATGATTGAATAATTCAACACAGCTGAGAAAAAAGAGGCACGTGAAGAAGGCCTTTGCCTGATCAGCACTGACGGTGTGAAATCCACGCGCACACGAATGTGCTTCTCTCTGTGTGATGTTTATGTTTGTTGGGTGTATAAAGCACGATTAATAAAAACTCAGAGAGAGAAATTTGGGTTCAACATGAAGGTCAGAAAAACAAAGCAGCCACCAGCCACTGGCTCTTACCTCAGTCCGAAATGGCAGTCTTGCCTCCAGGAACCTCAGAATGAGACTGTGTCTGAGAGCTGTCTCTCCCCATTTTATAATCCTCTCTAGTTCTGGGATTACAGGTGTGTACTGCCTGGTTTCCACGGTAACTAGTGTGGCTTTTGGGATTAAGGTGTGTGTTACCACTGCCTGGTCTGTAAGGCTGGCCAGTGGGGCTGTTTTACTCTCTGATCTTCAGGCAAGCTTTATTTATTAAAATACAAATGAAATGCCACTGCAGGTGTACATATGCACACGGGTGCGTGTAGAGGTCAGAGGACAACTTCAGGTATCATGCCTTGGACACAAGACATTACTTTTGTTTTTGTTTTAGTTTTCATTGAGACTAGGAATGCTCTAAATGGGCCAGTCTGACTGCCCAGCAAATCCCAGCCATCTACCTGTCTGTGTATCCCCAGTACTGAGACTACATGCATGTGTCACCGCGCCCAGCTTCTTTTAAAGTGAGATTTTGGAGTTGAACTCACACCCTAGTGCTTTTAAGGGAAGCACTTTACCAACTGACTTACACCCTTAACCTCCTCACGTGTTTTCACTACAGGCCGGCCCAGCAGGCCTGTCGAAGCACTGAGAACCAGCCAGCTAGGGCCAGAGGCTTCCAGTCAGACTAGAAAGAATGGGCTGGAGTTCTCTGGGAACTGTCCAGCTTGACAGTGAGGCTGAAGACAAAGCTGAGAAAACCAGACATGGAATTTAAAATGACCATGGGACTTTTTACTGTAATGGGAGATCCCACATGGCTTACTGCAGGCTAAATTAGCGAACACAGTTGATGTCTTAGGGACACAATTGCACTTTGGCAGTGCTATACCAGATGATCTAAAATGACAGATTCTTCCCATTTTGATGACCGCCTCAGGGAAGGCTGAAACGAACCTGGCTGTGTTTCCGCAATATGTTTCTCTAATATGACTTCTTGGTCCACTTCACAGTGGGTTTCTATAACCAGGATGCTGACAGTTTTCTCGGCTACAGCCTTATTTTCTCCACAGTTGCTCGGATACAGTTCTTCTGGGTCTTCCAGTCTTTAACCAGTTAAGTGCTGAAACCTTCGTCTGTCAGCTGACACTAGGAGGATTTGTAGTCTTGGTAATTATTCATTTTTAGTAAGGACCAATGCAGGAGAACACCTTTGCCTTTGTCTGCTACCCAGGTGGTATTCATTCATCTTAAACCACTGTCGTATGGACGCCATTCTTGACCGTGTGCTCCTCGCTCCTCTCATTTGTGGGTGATGTGCAGGTGAGGGACTTTAACACCTGTTCTGAAGACCAGAGTTGGGATGTCAAATGCTTCCAGCAGAATGGATACAAAACCGAAGAACTTGATTCTAACAAAGAGACCCATGAAAAGATACGAGAGATATTGATCACTGGGCACCCTCGGCAAGAGGGGACTCATTCCATAGTCCCTGCTTGGATCTGGAAGGTGGGGAGTCGACAGGTTGCGATAACCTCGAGCGCTGTCTGCTTCTCATTTCCCATCTGTCTTTTCTGCTTCCTTCTGCATAGGTTCTCCTGTATCCTCAGTATACTACCCAACCTCCAGAGGAACTCAGCTTGGGTGGCTCGGTCTATTGTCACCTTTCTAGGACAGAGACTTCTGTGTGAGGCTCTTTAGTGGGCCATCCACCCCCCCCCCTCACAAGTGCTCCTGAAGCCCCATCACTGGTTGGCTCTGCTAAAGACACAGCTCACCCTGGGGGCTATTATTGGGATGTTCACATTAGAATGTGAGTCTGAGTCTGGCTCCTGGGGTTAGAATTGGAACCAGTGAGGAACAAGTATAAGGAGAGGGAGTCAACTCTATGTGGAGCTTCGTAAACCTGGAATGGATCATAGGCGGAGAGATGGTTAGACTCAGTGACCTTCCAGCCTCCCATCACCTGTGTTTTTATTTTTCTTACCATCATTTTGTTTCTTTCCAGCTCTGTCTAATGAAAAATCACCACTTTATGTTACTATCATAAAGAGCCCTGGAGGTAATTGTAGTGCAATGGAACTAAAACCTGCCCAGATTTCAGAGACAGCAATGTCTTCGCATCAGTTTCTTAACCAAACTCAATTTAATGTGTGTGCTATTTTTACATCAGATTTTGTTGTGGTCAGTAGCAATGGCATTCAAGAAAGGGAATGATACACATAGCATAAGTGAGTTAGCAAGCTGCAGCCCAGGTCCTCCTTTCAGACGAAGGAAGATAAGTGTCAGAGCGGCTATCACAGAGGACATTCCAGACACTCCAGTGCCACATTTAAATTCAGGCATCAGCTGGGCTGAGTCATGTAGGGCAGATTTTGTGACGACTCCTGTGATATTTGTCTGAGCTGAAACAGTACTCAGTATTCAGTATTCGGCCTTCACTAATCACTCCATAAGACTTTAACCCTCTGACTAACAAATACAGGCAAAATCCAAACGTACCAGGGACATTTCTGTTTCTACTTTTCAATGTGTTGACACAGAAAAGACCAAGAGATGACAATGTCAGAGGACAATCTGAACTCTAGACCCCTGCCTTGCAGTTTATTTGAGACGGAGCCTCTTGTCTGTGGCTACACATGCCAGGTTTGTCTGGAGAGGTTGTGGGGTTTGTGTCCCCACCTCCCGTGCCACTGCAGGGGTTCTGGGATTACAGACACACTCTATAGGCAGCATAACATGGTTCTGGGTCTCCAAACTCAGGGGCTCACCCTGCGTGCTTTCCCACTGAGCAATCTGTCCAGCCTTCTCACCCCAACAGTATTGTCTTCAAATTCACCTAGAGCGCAGTTGGGTGGAGGGGCACTTGGCGAGTCCAACCCCACACGATTCGTGGGGAAAAGGTATGAAATTCCTGGCTCCAGTTGTTCTTCTCCCTGTGGGGTTGCAGTTCTGGTAACATCAGCTTTCTAAACAACCCTATCGGTGGGTGAGTTTTACTCTTTCTGATAGAGGAGAGGAATTAAATAAACACACTATTCAAGCGCTCCTGCCTGGTGGATTCCATTTAATTAAGGTTTTGTTCCGTTTAGTTCCATACTACCTTCCCTGTTTTTTTTTTTTTTTTTTCTTCCTTACTTCAGTGTGCTCTGCAATCCTTTTTTTTCCGGTTGCCATCTTTTCCCGTCACCTTCAAAACCACCTCTAAAAGGGCCCTACCAAACTCTCTGTTATCGTCGACCTTGATCAAATGCTGAGTTCTTCTTTGTTTGCTCTTCTCAGCCAGTCTTAGATTCTAATGTGTTGATGTGTTTGTAAGAAATGATTCAATACTACGACGTACTGGAGGAGAACAAGATCCAGTCCTCTTCTTTTTTCTCTTCTGATTAGTGTGCGCAATTGTTTGCTTCTATTTAGAAGTAATTCAGATTTCTCTGCCACACTGAAATGTAACTGGAATTAAATTACCCTTTTTTCATTACCCTTGTCCCTTAAATTACTTAAAGTTCTTAGAATTACTAATGCCTGGAAATGCAATAATGTTTGGTTGAAACTAATCATAGAATTTCATATGTATTAAATTCCCTTGTTGATTTTAGGTTAATAATAAAAAGGAAATCTCAGCTTAATAGAATTAACTGACTCCCAATAGTTTACATTCCTTTGTGTTTTTTTTTTTCCTTCTCAGGGATTTTGGTGGTATTCTCCAGTGACATCCAGTACCTCTGCCTGCTGAAGGCTTTGACCGAGGCTGCTCTCAGCTGCTGACATCATCCTGAGCAAAGGAGGGTGTAGAAATCAGGGGCACCTTGGGAGGCTTCTGACCGGTGGATCTTCTGAAGGTGAGAGTGGTTGACTACATTTTCTCTTTAGTAGTTAGAATAGTAGATCTGTCTGCCACAATCCGCTTCTTCAGAGAATGAATGGGGAACTGTTCCTGAGAATTCTCTGTATGAATGAAAATGAAGAGATTGTCTTTGGGGGAGAAGTTTTAGTTGCAAAGTCTGGTCTGCATAGTTCCAGGCCAGCCACAGCTACACAGTGAGACTCTGTATAAAACTAAACACACACACACACAAAACCTAAAAACAAGCAAGCAAAGCACAGCAGTATTTGTACATTTCTGAGCATTCTTATGTAGCTATGGTCTGTCAGTCTCTATACAAACCATGTGTGGCCTTCCAAGGCTCAGATAGCTTAGCTTATATAAAAGTATACTGTAAACTCAAATATTTTTAGGTAGTAAGGATATGAATCAGTATTACTTGCAATTGTTTATAACCTTCCAAAATACTCTCAAACCTTTCAATGTGTTTCCCCCCAGAGTATATCAATAAACCTTGCTTTGTTCTCATAAAGCAATGTCATTGAGCACTCAACAAGTGTCTCTCAAATGTTAGTGATAGATCTGTGAAAAACAGTATGACCAACTTCCTTCCGTAGGATAGAAGCATATTGATGGTGCATTAAAGACGGCGACAAGCTTCTAATGTACCCCAAATCTGGAGGATGGTATCTCGCCAAGCAGGCTCCAGGAGATAAGCCCTGAAATGGCTTTTGAAAGATGAACAGAAATGAGCCATCGAAATAGCAGAGGAAGAGAGGGTACCACAGGCAGGAGCAGTAGGCTAGGGCCATAAAACCCAAACAGGAAAGCAGAAAATTGTACAGCAGTGTGGAGCCTTACATTCTGGTGCCTGTGTGTATGGTGAGGGGGAGCACCAAGACGCTGAGGTGCTGTCAGCTGGAAGTCGTGGGCATCTTAGGTCTATTACTCCAGAGTGAGCACTGAGAACCCAAGGGGATTTAGCAAGTCTGAAAGAAGGGAAGATGAATTTTCAAATAGTGTGGGGAATATTTTGGAGAAATAGAATTGTAATAGGAGCAGTAAGGAACAGAACAAGAGAGCTATTTGAAGAAGCGAGACTATGTTAGATTTGATGATTGATTGTGCTTGGGAGGGGAAAGATCAGGACTTAAGACCTTTGGGTTTCTGACTAGGAAGGCTAAAAACATGATGGAAACTTTCAGGGCATACCAGGGGAAAGTAGAATATTTTTGATGAAACCAGGACTTCAAGGTGGGTAGGGCTATCTAAATAGAAATGTTCACCTGGTAGCTGGAAGAATAAGGTAGAGATAAAAAGGGAAATTGGGTCAAAAAACAATGAAGTTATAGATCATCTTTGGTCAGTTTTCTGTTGCTATGGTAAACAAACAAACAAACACCCTGAGAAAACCAATTCACACAGAGGAAAGATTTGGTTGGGTCTAGGTTTCAGTCCATGGTCACCTGACTCTGCCGTTATTGAGTTTGTGGTGAGGCCTGACTTCCTCCCACAACACCACACCTCCAAGGGTTCCACCACAGCTCTACAGGCCCTCGGGCTAGATACCACTCCTTTAGCCTTGAACTCTTTAGAGACCGACCCTCCTAACCACCAGTCAGAGACGCAGCTCAGAAGTGGAATGCTAGCCTTGAGTCTATGGGACTGTGGATTCAATCTCTAGTACCACAAAACATGAAGACTGAAAAGAAGGAATAGGATCCAAAGCAGGCAATAACTGCAATTCTGTTTAAAAATGTAATTTAAATTAGTACGTAAATGTTCAATATTATTTCTTCACGTACTTCAGACACAGCTCCCAGTCTTACCAATTTCCATCCTACCATTATTTGTATATGTAGTTACTGCTCTTGTTTCCTTGGCACAATAGACTAGGATGTTTCCTCGGGACCAACTTGGGAGGCTTTTTAGTTTGAGAAAAAGAACTTTAAAACATTGTTTACAAATGACACAAACCCTAAATTTTGGGAGCACTGCAACTCAGTATCATTCTGCATTTCAATTAGTGCCAAGTGCCAAGCGCGACTCTTTTTCGGTATTAATCATGATGCTCTCCTGTCAATTCCTCATTTCCATTGCCGAGTGCAGTGTTTGGACATTGTTTATAGGAGACCCAGGGCCTTTCTTGAATTCTTCGGTTGGGTGGTACGAGTTCCACCCCTGAGTATTCCTAGCATCTACCCTGAACATGGCAGAAGGATCTGTCGAAACAGAGGTCTCAGTGTTTGAGAGTATGACCACCCCAGTTAGACTGTAGCCATTCATGACTCGGAGCCTTCTTTGAGGGAACGGCATGGCTAAACAATTTAAATTCAAATAATACTTACAGTTGTGCTATTTTGAGTGACCTTTATTGAATTATTGTCTTCTTAATTAGCTTAATGACTTATTTTCATAAGATGTACTGGAAATTGCACAACCCTACTATTGTATCTTTATGGTTCACTTCATTATCATCTTTCCAGGATTGGCTCATCTGTCACTTTCATTTTCAAACACAGAAAATTAAATTAAAGGAGAATTTGGAAACTTCCTTAATCCTAGCAGATGGTACCAGAGTCTCCATCTCTGGAAACACTCTGGCCTTCCTACAGTATTGTGTTTTTCTCTCTTCCTCATTCCAAATCTTTTTGAATTGCATAGAGTGAATTATCCAGACACATTAAAACAGGGAATTGGATTAAGGGCTGGTTTCCACTGATGGCAATTACTCTGGCTTGTTGCTCTAGACTCACCAAACAGATTTTGCTTTAATACTTGAGGTTGTGGTTAATGCTTTATAGTTTTGATTTTATGGTTCCTTTTAGTTTTAATATGGACTTTTTCTCTGTACTGGTTCTACCACTAAAAATGAAACACGGGGACACAATCAAACCACCTGTATCTAAATTCTGGCTGGAAAAAGACACTCACTCGTGCGTTCAGAACTAATGCTTATAAGCGGAAGACGTTTCTGACTTGTTCAGTGATGCTGGAGTCTGCTGTGGGCTCTATGTATAGAAAATGAATTTGTGGAAAAGCTGAGCTGCTATGACTCAGAATGGTGGCTTTTGCATGCAAGCTGTAGGTGGTCGTGGAGACAAGGAGTTATTCTGTGTGCTTCAGGGGATGGCCATTCTTGACTGTGAAAACAGTAGGCTCTAAGTCATTAGGGTGTGTGTTAAACATGTGACTCACTCGTCCCCAAAGCTGCCAGGAGGAAAAGGAGTTTCCACTCATGAATGCCAGGCAAGGGGCTATTTCTCCCTGTTTCCCCCACTTTCTCTTTCTTGTCTCTCTTTTGATTCTGTCTCCTCTCTCTTTTCCTGTCTTACTCACACTTTCTGTGTCACAGACAGGCCAGTTTGATCCCTCCGGAACACAAGGTCCTTTATGGGTTTTGTCTTCAGAACTGGGTGGGAACAGCATATGTTGTGGGAAGGGAAATGGAGCCGTGGGGAAACAGTGGCTTGTGCTGAAGGTTCCTTGGCTACATTGCACAGAGCTGCGTGAACTGGGGAGAACAGATGTGAAAGTCATGTAGATTGAGCTCAAGATGGCATGGCATTATCAACAGGGACAGGGACACTAGCTCTCACCGTTGTGGTGGTGGTGGTAATGTCTGGGATGAGGGAAGTGCAGAATGGAATAGGATGGGGTGACTGTTTTCTGCCTGGATTCCAGGTGAGTGCTGCAAACACCAGTGTGTGTGTGTGTGTGTGTGTGTGTGTGTGTGTGTGTGTGTGTGAAAACAATGAAAGCAATATGCAGAGTTCATGTTGATTTTGGAGCTGACACTTAAAAGTACTTAAAGTTCTAAGTAGGCTTCAAGATGGTCCTCCTAAGATTGGATTCTGAAGACAAGGATTTTTGAGAGGGAAACTGTTGGAAAATGGAAGTCATGGGTGAGTTGACAGGGTGACGTTTCTGACTGGGCAGCACTTCAACAGGCTTGAGTAATTTTTACCGTTAAAATTTGTCATCCTCTGCCCTCTGTTGTGTGCAGTTTTGTAAAGAAGAAAGGAAACGCTGAGCCGCTGACTTTCGGTCCAAGCTCAATCCCACCAGAGAGGTCACAGACCTCACGTCAGTGATTCGCGCACCATTTTGATAGAGGACAATGCAGTGGATGTCTGATCAGATAACATCCTGCAACGCTGGAGTTTTCACTCTCCGCTGCCTTTTGGCGTTTGGGTTCTTTCAAAATTATTCCTCACTGGGCTTTATTACGAACATTTGAGCCCCAGCGACCGTGCTAGTCTCTTGCTGGCCACGCTGAACTGAGAACAGTGCTTGGAGATTTTGTTTTTCCAGCATATGATAGAAGAGCCAAGCAGAGTGATATGAATTAATGACTCTTCACATTTTCCCATCATGTAAGCTAGATTCACTATCTCCGGGGGATCTATTTTAGATTCATTCCCTAATAAACCATTCCTGCTCGCTGTTGGTTTTCTACCCTTTTCAGAGCCGCTGCCTAATGGCTAAACAGATAACAATGACTAATATACATTTTTATTTTAAACTTTGGGATGCTTTTGGTTGTTCTTATTAGAAATAGAAAAACACAGTAAAAGTTTGTTGATCCTTGACAATCAACACTATCATTATTCATACTATTTGTCTGAGGCAAGAGTCATCTTGAAGAAACTGTATCTTTTTGTATGGTTTAGAAAATGAAAGGACATCCCCATTGTCTCAGTGTGTGGGTGCACCCCTCGCCATCCTGAGTTCCTTGCTCGTGCTCTCTCTCCTTCTGCTCCTGATTTGGGGAACTCAAGAACAATGGCAATGGGTTTTTGATCCTACTGCACGTATTGGCTTTGTGGGAGCCTAGGCAGTTTGGATGCTCACCTTACTAGACCTGGATGGAGGTGGGTGGTCCTTGGACTTCCCACAGGGTAGGGAACCCTGATTGCTCTTTGGGCTGACGAGGGAGGGGGATTTGATTGGGGGAGGGACTGGATGATGTGGACATGGGATAATCATTCTCTTTCCATATTTTGAGTTTTCTCC